CCCCTTTTCCCCCCCCCCCCCGCTTAACAGACAGGTTCCTGTTCAAAATTAGTTTATATATTTCCCCTTGAAGTTTAATATTTTAAACCTGACAGTTTGACGGGTCTAATTCAAAATTACAATGAAGAAAAACATTTCAGGGGTGTTTATTTCTTGAAAAAAACCTCCCCCTTCTCTGTAAAAATTAAAAGAAATTTTTTAGGGATTTATTTTCTAATTTGGGCAAAAAAGTAATTTTTAGTTTGAAATAATTCAATATCTGGATAAAAAGTGTCTTACAAGATGAAAAAACTTTACTTTTGATGTCCAATTTTCCTTTTTCCTCCCAATTCATCAAAAATCTTTACATTTTTAAAATTATACACCTCTGAAACATTTCAAGCATTGATAAAGATTTTATTCCTTTTCTCACTTAGCTAATTATTTCTTCTCCTACAATGGCGGAAATTTTTAAACTTTGTTCTGTTTCCCTAGTCAAGGCAATTTACGGCTATATTTTTGAAAACTTTATCATGTTTCAAGTCATAATGTTTTTTCTTTATAGCAAAAATATTACATCATGTGGTATATTATAGCACTTAATTGGAAAGTTTGGTTTTTCCCGGATTTTCTTTCATATAAGTGAATAATTAAAAAAAATATTTTTACTTGGTTGGAAAGCTTTAAACAAGCATTTTAAATCAAATCAATTTTAAATCAAATAAAAATTCACATTGTAGAAAGACAATTGTTAACAAAATTATCTGTAGCACTTTTATTTTGGTAAAATAAGTTATACAACTTTTGGAATAAATATGCTCTGTATTTTTTTTTAGTATATAGAGAGAAGATATCTTTCTAATAATTGTTTTAGCAGTGCGAACCAAAAAATGTTATAAATAGTTATGGCCAAGTTGAATTTTTGAGTGTTGTTTGATGTCGCCTCCATTTATTTACATTTTTTTTCTCAATCAATTTTGAATTTTTTTTGCTTTTATGTTTTAAATCAGAATTTTGTAAATAAAAAATAAAATGTCATGAAATAGTTTTTTTATTGTTTTTTTTATTTATAGAAGAAGTACATCACATCTGCTTGGTAATCCGCAGCCTGTTTATGATATGGGTAAGTCTCACTTTAAAAATATCAATAAGTAATTTTATATAAACTAGCCTTAGAGGGCGCTTCGCGCCCATCTTCTAAATTAATTGTGAACATGTTCTCTTTGTGTACATCGTAAAACAAAACAAAAATAATTCGCGGATTTTCACAAAAAATTTCGTGGATTTTCAAAATTTTCAAAAATTTAATGAAGATCGAATTTTGATGGAGACAAATATTTGAAATTTTGATCATTCATAAACCTTCCCTGTGATCACGTGATGTCCCACAAAAAATTTGGGTCCGATCGGTTCAGCCGTTTTGACGTTTATTGGATACAAACAAACAGACAAGCCAAATTTATATATAGATGAAAAGGAATGTTCATAAATGACGGGTCACGTGATATTGCTTCTACATGTCACGTGATATTGCTTCAACAAGTCACGTGATATTACTTCAACGGGTCACCTGATATTGCTTCAACGGGTCACGTGATATTGCTTCAACGGGTCACGTGATATTGCTTCAACGGGTCACATGATATTGCTTCAACGGGTCACGTGATATTGCTTCAATGGGTTACGTGATATTGCTTCAACGGGTCACGTGATATTGCTTCAACGGGTCACTTGATATTGCTTCAAAGGGTCATGTGATATTGCTTCAATGGGTCACATGATATTGCTTTAACGGGTCACATGATATTGGTTCAATGGGTCACGTGATATTGCTTCAATGGGTCACATGATATTGCTTCAACGGGTCACGTGATATTGCTTCAATGGGTTACGTGATATTGCTTCAACGGGTCACGTGATATTGCTTCAACGGGTCACTTGATATTGCTTCAAAGGGTCATGTGATATTGCTTCAATGGGTCACATGATATTGCTTTAACGGGTCACATGATATTGGTTCAATGGGTCACGTGATATTGCTTCAATGGGTCACATGATATTGCTTCAACGGGTTACGTAATATTGCTTCAACGGGTCACGTGATATTGCTTCAATGGGTCACGTGATATTGCTTCAATGGGTTACGTGATATTGCTTCAACAGGTAACGTGATATTGCTTCAACGGGTAACATGATATTGCTTCAACGGTCTCTAGATGCTAAAACGTGATATGTAAGATTTATTAACAAATTATATTTTCCAGAATAATTGATTTGTCACTTTATATTTTAGTGAATTCTAATGATTTGTGACGATTATTAAACTTTTTTTATTATTTTAAAAAATCAGAGCTAGGAACTTTTGTGTGGATAATTACAATTCCTTTCGCTTGATCTCGATATCCACTGTGGACACTTTTAGTTTGAGGATCTATAAAAATTATACCTTTCTATGCATATTTTCATTTTGATCAAAGCTCCCTTCAATTCAACCTCACGATTATCGAATAAAGATTAAAGGAGTTCAGTCTTTGCTACAAACTAAAATTTTCTAATCCCTATATCTTTGCAATGCAAGGTCATAGACCTTAGATATTTCAAACTATGAACTCTGTAAGATTCAATAATTTAAGTTTGAATTATTCAAGGTTTACATTATTAGATTGCAAATATATAGGGATTAGAATTTTGAGTTAGGGGAAAAAACTCAATTCCTTAATCCGCAGATTAGCAAAATATTGAGATCAATGCATGTTGATATCAATATCCACAACGCAAAAGTTCCAAGCTCACAATTTTTAGATCAAACCTGTGAGCTGCGGGCGTGTT